GATTTTCTTTTACTTGAGTCTTTTTCGTTGATTTTCTCGAGTTTTTCGCTTTTCCTCGGATTTCCTGGATGACGTTTTCTTCCGGACTTTGCTTTTTGAGATGCATTTAGGCTTGCTATACTTAAAGAACATCGGATCTCACGGGCGTGCATGTTTGCTTTATATTTTTTCAGTACTTTATTACATGTTTTCCACCTGCTACTGTACTGTATAGCATGTCATATTACTCCTGTTTTTCACCTACTAATGTTCTTCCTGTATAGCGTGCTATACTGCTCCTGTTTTTTGCCTACTACTGTTTGACATGTATCCTACTGTTTGCCATGTACTGCACATTTTATATCCTATAACTTTAAGCATGCCTTCTTTTATATAGGATGTTTAGAGGACTACAACCATAGGGCCGTTTGATTTGACACTATAACTAGACACCCTAGAAAACTTAAACTCGTCAAGTCGGTGAGCTTGGAGCTAGCGCGTTGAGCAGTACGGTCATCTGCAACAGCATAACATGTCTTCTGCAGCAAAACCATCCATTTCCTAAAAATTAAACAACAATCCATAAGACTTAGATGTTGTTTGCCTAGCGCAACATAAACCCTCCAACTTTTCCTTAGGCATTCTTATAGCTCTGCTGCACGATTTAAGCCTTAACTCGTTCTACGTTCTGAGGTTGTCGTCCGATATGACGTAAACCCTCATATATTCCAGGCGATTTGTGTGGCCATATCACGCAAATATAAGTCCTAATTAAATAAAATTGGTAGGATGAAATACTTTAATAATTTCTTCTCAAAACTTGAGTCAAATCATAGAATAGACTGGGAAGTCACTGAGGTTCTCCTCTGTATCTGTGGCCTCCCCTAGTTTCTCTTCATTTGGATTCCTCAACATTGTTCCAGTTTCGAGCATTTCCCCTTTCACACCTCTTCGTCTGATTTCGTTGAAAAGTCCTATCCTTTTGACTTCTTTGAAAATAGTGTTCCCTGATTTTTATCGAGAGTTTTCTTATGTGACTTCGGTCATTTAGGATGTAATTAACTATAGGGGTTTGCCTTTATAGGAAGTTTTTCCGAACCCAGCCTAAAATAAACCCTATTTAATTCTTTGTATTAAATAGAGAAACTTGTCGGCAAATAAAACGGTTTCGCAGACCAAATGGATGTCATATATTTCTTAGTTTATTTGATCGAGCCTCATTCTCAAGTCTTGTATTTATCCCTCGGGATAGATACAAGATTTGAGGTAGAGCGCTCTTTCATTTAAACTGTGAAAAATATGAGGTCAGTTTAATTTCATATTTTTTCTAAAATTATATATATATATATATACTTTAAAACGTCCTTCCGAAGCGGGTGACGGGACTTCACTTCCAGCGACCGACAGCTTCTTATGAAAAACTTTTGAACAAATCACCCGCCAATTTTTAACTTTCCCCCTTTTAGCGCCGACAACTTCCCCTTACCCTGCAGTTCAACCGAACTCCCCCTTTCTCACCCACCATAACTTATCTAGCTCTCTCCTCCCTCCCTTTTGATACCCACTCCCAACAAGCCTTCCTCTGCCAATCTTGCTCCTTCCATCTCGTAACTGCCACAAACCCTTCCACCAATTCGTCCCTCCAGCCTCTCAGCTGCCCCCATCCAGCCACCAAACCCTCTTCTATTGCCCTTACTGCACCGATCCCTTCCTTCCTGCTATCCAATCATCACCTTCACCCTAGCCCTACTTTGGGTCTTTGGCTGTCCCCTTTGTTGTTTTTTCCTACTATCGTGTGTGTTGGTTGTGACCCTATTTAATTTCAGTAATAAGTTTGCAATTCTGTTATTGTTTTGATTAACTCCGGTATCAGTGAGATTTGAAATCGCTTGTGCACCAACAGTCCATCACTCATACCTCTCTATTAGAATCAACGGGTTGCTAAGTATCATAATCTTCTACATCTTCTCAAATAGGAGGGAGAAGGGGAACTTTCAAATCGGACTATCAAATTTTATTTTATTTTTTTGAAAAAGATGTGTAGACATATAAGGTTAGCGAAGTTAAACACAATAGTCTCAGGATTTTAAGCGAAGTAAATTGGTTTTAGATTCTTAGTGTAAACCTGAATTGATAACATAAGAGCAACAATGATTGCGAGAGCATTTGCACATTTGAATGTCCCTACCTCAATTAATTTTCTCAGGCTCAATGTCTTTTGAAACTACCACATAAATTGTGCCAAAAAAATTTATTAAAAAATTAATATCAATGATGCCTTCAAATTCTGCTTTATGCTAAAACTCAAAATACTTTGAGTTAATACAATCCTCTTTCTTCAATGACAAGGTAACATCATTCCAAACAAAACTTTGGCAATAGAAATGTGCAATTGTAACATCCACTTAAAAGTTTAGTAAAAATAGAACCTAAGGAGTATAACGTGGATTGGTTGAAGAAACGTACTTGAAGCTAGTGAAAGCTACCCAAACGTGCGTGGTTCTGCAATTGTAGCAAAATAGTGAGACATTTAAGCATATGGATAAACAAGCCGCAATCATAGTTTGTCTAATGAAGAGTTTTGTTTATTTTACAAATGAGGATAATCTTATATGATGTAATGAGGATTAATTATCCAAACAAAAAATTTACTAACCAGGCTCAAGTCTAACAAAAATTTGTGATTGACATCCATGTTGTGACAACCCAATAAGATACTGCCCACAATGTACAAGGATAGTAGTGTGGCAAGTTCAGTGATCTCATCCTCTGTGAAAATGAGCGCATATTTGCTTTGATATAAAGATGATTGCTTATGTTATGGTGAATCCGAGTCTTGATGAAGTATGAAAGGAAAATGACTGAAGAAGATTGATACAATTTGGAGTCTAACGATCGACCTACAACTTTTGTAAAAAAAAAATGACGAGTAGCCTGAGGGCAATATCTGATGAAATGTTAGCAATGGAAGCAGCCTCCAAGATACTAGGAACCGTTTTCCCAAGAAGAAAAATGGATAAATTTGATGAACCTTCATTACCCTAAAAACATCCAATAGAAATGTGACTGCATATGATTTGGGATCAAGGGCATGGAGAGATAGGTGTTTGCCCGATCATAACTTACGAGGGGAAAGGATTCATGGAGAGAGGAAAGCAACTTGGAGGGAAGATTAGTTGCTAGTAAGAAAGAATGAGTTCATGTGGCTGCAACCCTACGTTTCTCACTAGAACCCACCAGCAAGTAAATAAGCACTCCAGTGTGGTAGAGGTAGCAAGCGTGAGTGAGCTTAAACCGAGGCACTGAGTGTGATTGTCTAATCAAAGTAAAACAAAGCAATGAGGGCGAGGCATGTGAGAGTATGGCCGAATGATCCAAGTGAAGGGATGCATTACTAGAGATTGAAGCAAAGAAGATAATTATGCTCTTAATGTACACATACATGCAAACACATAACAATATCTACTACCCTATATTGTATGGTCAAACTTTCCTCTATATATTCCTTAAAATCTTTGCAATAACAAGAAATGATTCTAGTTATGGTTTTCTGTATTAACTTTTGTATTTAGCTTGTTAATTAGGCTTTCCTGCAGGGATATACATGATGTTTAACTGTCTGTTACTGCATTTTGGATGTTGTAAGGTGTCCTATCTTGCACATTTCTGTGCGGAAATGTTCCTAAATTACTTCATGAGAAATTTATATGAGCTACCTTTTTAAATTTTAATGTTTTACTTATTGTTATTTTGCTTATTATTGTTTCCTTTCATCCTTTAGATTATTTTGTTAGCATCATAAATTTGACTTTCCATTTTAAAGCTCCTGGTAACGAATAAAGTGCTTTGAAAGCTTAGTTTATTCATTAAATTTAAGCAATTTATTAAATTGCGACTGATTTATCGCTCTGTGTTATTATTTTTCTTGACAATTCCAACTTTTTGATTTAAGGTTAAAATGAAGGCATGCTCTCAATTTTTTTTTGAGAGTATTATATTTCATTTCACTTTTTATATCATTTTACTCCATTTCTGATATTGCTTCTAAATTTTTTCTTATTTAATGAGCTAGCATTAGTAGTGATATTCAAAATTTATTCTGCCAATTTGTTTGTAGATGGATATGCGGGATTTCTTAAATGCTCCAAACGGGGAATCACTTCAAAATTTATCTACTGAGGACAAGCAAGAAGTAGAACCTCAGTCCCCACTGGGCGGCAGGACTGTATGTAGAAATCTTTTTTCTTGAAAAAATGCAATCTGGGTCTTGATTCCTATCCAAAACTTTAGAATTTTCATTGTTATTTTAGTCTAAACATGTTTTTATGCAATCCTTATCTTTGTGGCATAAAGGTGATGCTTGTAATATAACCTTTTTTTTCCATTCAACAAATACAGGATGTCTTTGATTTGCCTTTCCATATGGCTAGGGATCAAATTGAAGAGAGCTTACGAACTAAAATGGCCTCAATAAAGGTTTATTTTGCTTTTACATGATATTTGAGCATCATGAATTGCTTATTTATTATAATTCAGTTCATAGTTGAAGGCCTTTGTTCGTTTTCATACATATATTATTCAACTTGATTTTTGAAAGGCTCGGATGTCTCAACTTCAAGATGCTCAGAAGGGAGCTGAAGTCTCTTCAGAAGCAACAGATCGGGAGCTTGAGCTTGAAGCTCAACTTGTTGAAGCTAGAAGTATCATTCAAGAGCAGGTGATTGTTATCCTCTTTTAAGAGTCCCAATTGTTACTGAAATGGTGTCAAAATAACATTTTTACATCATCCAATCTCTTTTGCTGCAAACATGCATATTTTTGAAGATTTGCTTGTTCAACGTCAATCCGATATCTCAGGCTTGTTCTTTCCTCTAAGAGGAATGACAGTAATTGATCATGATTTCATTTTTGATTAATGATTTTCTACCTGAACTTGGGAGATTTAAAATATGTTTGTGATGGCTACAATTGTCGTTTAATCTAGTTGCTAGACAGTTTTGTAAGAAGGATAGTTTTTGAAACTGGTTGTGGATCCTATAAAATTTCTTATTCAAAAATACATATTTGACTTTTTTACAACTATCATACTCTAGTAGACCATGTTCTGAAAACTTATTCACACTGCATAAATTTTTTTCGAAGCAGTAAGAAAGTTGTAATTAAACATAATTATGACAACTTATATAGTAAAACTGTGAAAATTTTGTCCTAAGTATGCCCTCAGTCTACTTTATTATCACTGATATTGACTAATAAACAAGGCGTACTCTCAATTTCGTTTATTGCTGGTGCCATGGCTTAAGTGTATAGCGAAAAGCAGTAAAAATATCTCTATTTCTATGAAAGATAATCTTCTTGCATAACCATTTTTCTACATGTACCTTGAATTGTGTATGTTACAGAGAGTAAAACTATTATACTCCATTAATGTCTTTTGTAGAAAATTGGAGAATTGCAAAAGCTCACCTTTATCATTATACATTCAGAAGTTATTTATTTAGAGTTATCTATATATCTTTAAAAAGAGTAATAGTTACAATTAAAAAAAATTTTTTGTAGCTTGAATCCGTGTGCTTTTATTTTCATTTCAGCTTGCTGACATGCATCCGTGTGCCTCTTACTTTTTTTGCGGTCTTTCAATTAATTCTAGCTGGATCATCAATCATAGTTTTATATCTTCCAATTTTGTTGTGCAATTTTTCATAGTTTCTTTATGATTTTTTTTTAATATTTGACCGCCCAGTTATGCACCATCACCCTTATATTTTGTATCAACCGACATTCTTGAACATGATTTGAATTCTTGGTTTTCTTCTTGGTAAAGGCCAACTATTAATTCATTTTCCATATTTCTTTTGATGGACATTTTCTCTTTAAAGTTATGTAATTTGACTTTATGATCATTCTTTATACATCAATTTAGGTAAAAATCACTTTCCTTGTTCTATGCTAGTTTTTATTTTGACATCGTATTTATATTTTGAATAAAAGTAATGCATAGTGTATCCCCAACAAAAAAGTTGGGATAAGGCTTTTGAAGATGATGATCAATGCATCGCATATCTTGTTCAAATTTGACCGACTCTTGTGAGAGAGGTGCATGTTTGCAATTTTGGGGAGTAATAAGGTTATCTTTTGAATATGAGTAAATCAAATTTAAATTTAAACCTCAGGAGTGTATATCTTTGATAAAAAATTACTATTACTATTGCCTGTCTCATTGAAACAGTCATGGAGGATATGCTTGTCCCTTAAGATCACTCTAGTATTATCAACCAATGAATGATATTATCCTCTTCTAATAGTTTTCATGTGACAAGTATTTGATGCTCAAGGAAATAACATGAGTAAAAGCTGTTTTGATATAGCTGATTCAGTTTGGAGCCTTTTAATGTTTGTCTTACATTATATTTTACCTGGATAATCTGGAATAGTAAATTGCCTTTGAGTTCATACATTTTATAGTTTATTTATTCTTTGAATGACTTGCACTGTACATTAATTTAGAGTTCATGTTTTTTTATTATCGTTTTTGTTTTCCTTGTTATGCTTGAGCTAAGGATGCTTTAACATTAAAAGGTTTTAGCATATTTTGAGTCAACGATTATGGTCATTTTAGTTCAGTCTTTATGTATGTCATTTCAGAATGTAACCTTTTAGCATTTTGGATTAGCAACATGCCCTTTTGATGTCATGGTGTTGAATAGTAGATTATTAGCCTATTTAAACTTAACAAAAATTCAATAATCAAATTTCCCCTTACAAAATGAGAATCGTGGGTGCTTTCTTGTGGATCTTAAGTGTTGTGCAGCCTTTTTTGGATTTAGGACTTAGCAGTTATGATTAGCAAGGGTTTGATATTGACTAGTTGACCTACGTTGAACTGCTTTAGATTAGTCTAGACTATCTAGTACAAATTGGATTTTATGATTCATTTTTGTTATAAACTTCACTACATAAATTTGTTGGTGCCACATATGTACGTAATCTTTATTTTACCCCTTATTATAGGAAGGTCGAGAATGTGATGCTGATCAATAGAAGAGTTAAACGTGACTGTTACCCAAGAAGACAACTGAGGGTGGCAACGAATCTTCTTAACAAACCCCTCATTGAGCTCTAAGGCACAACAGTCCCTCAATTTATGAAAAGCTTATGCTAGCTTGGAGCACTCACTAATATCGATGGCACTTGCAATCACTCTTAGAGAAGGTGCTATACTTTAAACCCAGTTTGTGACAACTATGAGAAAAGTGTGTTTTTAGACCAGTTTTTCTTCATCTTTTGTTTGAATGACAAAAGGAAATTATGTGCTTTTTGATATTAAGTCATAGGTGCCTTTGGATTGATATGGTCATGATGGCTAGACATAGATGACTAAATGATTGAAGATGTCAATTTTAGGTGATCCAGTCAACTAATTCAGTGAATATATTTTCCTATTTAAGATCATGTTCGTAGGTGCCTTTGGCCTGCCATGTCCTAGATGTGTCATAGACAACCAAAGATTTTGGTAAAGTATCTTTGGTGGACTAGTCAACTCAGTCAATGATTATGCTTTTGTGGGTTTGTTTACTAAAGATGTTCATGATTACTCCAATGGAGTAATACTAGTTTATAAAATTAGGTGATTGAAAATGTCAACTACTACATTTGTAAGATATTTAAATTAAAGATGCTCAAGATTGTGATGAGCTAGTGACTGTTATGAACCATGATCTCATGTTATTCATATTCATGGGTTGACCATAATAGGTGGCGAATCATTGAGTAATAATGTTTGCTAGATTTAATTAGCTAGATGTTGGTTGCACTAATTAAGAGGTGGTTGCGTCCTTAATGGGTGGAGGGGATTCAATACTTGTATTAAGAAGGGAGGTCATGGCCTTAACGATGTAGGTGTTAGCATTGGTATGGTATTTTAGGCATGTTTCTTATTATTTTTTAATTTGTTATCCATTGGTTTTTGTATTTGTTTCCTCTGTCATAAATAACAGACTCTTTTATTAAATAAGGGATAGAAATCTCTTTTTTCTCAACTTTGTATTAATGTAGGGTTTAGTCTAACCAGAGTTATCACACATTTTATCTCGCTTTTCTATTTTTTAGTTTGGCCTTCATGCATTTCTTCACGATGCCCCCACACAAGTAAAGTTATAAATGAATTAACACAATGAACAACTGGAACTTGGCCCGATTAATTCTCGATCAATTTTGTTCAAGTTAGTAAATAAAAAAGTTTCATTATTTTTATAAGAACTCAAATGCCAAATGAATCAAGAATAAATATGGTTTTAATCATTTTTATATTGACGAAAAAATTCATTATTGTTTAACAAGTACTTTTTTAATGTTATATAGTAAGCTTGATTTTAGTTCATATCATTTGCAATATATTATTTAAATAAAATATGATTTAATAGAATTTATTTAATTATTTATTTTTCAATAACATATTATAATTTAACATCAATATGCATATTAATTTAATGTAAGTCATTCTGCTTTCTTTATTTCAATAAAATAGTTTGTTAGTACTGATTTATGTTATTTGATTGCAAGAAAGTTTAATTATAATATATATATTATCTTTTTTAATTCGTGTAAATTAATTAGATATTAATTCAAAATTTATTTAATTTTTTATTTGTTTAAATTTATAAAATTATTTGTTAATAATTTATATAAAATCTCATTTAAATTTTTAGCATATTTATTAATTTGTTGAATTACTCATTCAATTAATATAAACATATCAAGTGCAAGCCAAATATGATTATTAAAAATTAAAACAAATTAATTATGAACATATATGTGAAAGCTTGGCTTGAACTCGAGCTAAACCTGAACAACTTATAATATGATGAAGCCAAAACCAATCCATGACTCACTCAACTTAATTACTCCCCTATATCTCATTTCAAGATCAACACTCCCAAACCTATCGACTTACCTTTTGTGACCTGTATAGTATGAGGGCTGCAAAAACATTTTGAGGATCTGATGGTTCGGGGGTTGGTTTGTCAGAGTATCAGTTAATATGTTGTATCCGTTTTTATTGTGTCCACTAAGGATGTAGTGTGGTGTATGTGTATTCATAGTAAGGCAATTAACAAGATTATTACCAAGTAGGATGGCTTGTCGAATCAATTTGATGATGCTAACATCTTTTCCAAGAAGATATGTGCAGTCGATATCACTAAATTTGGATGAGATCCTAGAAGAAGTGGAAGATTGGGTTTAACATTCACGATGGATTGTATGATTTAACGATCACGCTTTTTGGCATGTACGCCCCGAGTACTCTTATGTGGTTGGTGAATCAATTTTCTATGCTTTGATCCAAAGGTTAGTGGTTGTGTACTTCAACGACATCTTGTTGTATTAATGTTCCAAGGAGGTGTTTTTACAACACTTGTGAAATGTGCTTTGAATTCTACAGACAAAGTAGTTGTATGATCACCCCAAGAAGTTTTTATGACATTATAGACATGCTTACTTGGATATATTATTTCAGCTACCAACGTTGACATGAACCCCATTAAAATTGATGATATTGTGAATTGGCCTAACTCACGGTTGTTTACTCAGATACATCAATTTCATGAACTAGACTTTTTATAAGAGATTTATAAAAAAATTTAGCTCTATTGAGGCACCTTTGATGGAGCTTTTCAAGACATATATTTGTTTGGTTAGAAGAGGCACAATTTAGTT